TAATTAAAGCTTGGAAACGTGTCAATTTGTACTCGTTGATCTGCGCAACAGTCAAAGACGCCATCTTTGTTTATATGCGACCCATATATCTCGCACATGCGCAGCGCGACGACTACCGCGCTTTAAAGGCGTGCATGGCAGACTGATTATGCGATCAGCTAATCGCGTGATTACCACTACTGAATACAAGTTACTACTACTACTGATTCATTTATGTTTGTTTCAATGTTTTTGTTTACGATTTGTAAGCAATCATAGGGTCGGTGCCGTATTGCTTTATAGAGAAATGAATAAAATCTATTGGTTACCAAGTAGATTGAATTTTCCTGGAGAACTAAGAGTCACAGTTTTACAATATTGTCTGTTTTATTGTTATATCACCCAACACGGAAAGGTTTCCAAAATGATTTCACATTTGTACATTCCTATTTATCATTTCATTTGTTTACAGTACATATTAACGCGGATACTAATGTTGAGAAATATAATCCGATAAATAAACGTAAACACGATGTAAACGGGAAATACGCATATTTTTATAATTGTTGACAAGTGTGGCAGATTCCATTTTCCCAATCTGTTCTGTCTCCCATATATATCATTTTATCGTACTTAGACCTAGAGGTAGGAGATCCAAAACCAGTAAATGACATTAGTATCTTTATATTTATAGTACCTTGCAGTTATTGCCAGATTATAGTTTTGAATTTCAATGAAGTATGCAAGAAAAGCTACAGGGTCAATTCTGATTGCACACTTATCTAGCACACAGATTCCCCAATAAAAGGAATATCTCATACTATGATATATTTCAAACTGAAGTTAAAAATATACTACAGGCCTTAAAAAGTTGACACCATGAGAAAACATTACTTTCCGTATATATAATATAGAATGTAAAAACGAGCCCAAATTAGCGAACCACTTATTGTGTCATCGTGAAATTTCATTTTATGAATGTGTGTGGACGCTCCAGGCCAATTAATGTTTGAATTATCTGTCGGTGTTTTGGGCGTTAAGTAGGGTGTGGGCATTGAGAGACATACATCTCCCTAGGGGTAGGGGCAGGCATCACGGGAAACGTTGATTTTAATTATATGTGGGCTGAAATGAAATCTGATTACTGTGATTGTAAGGTCGGTTATCGTAACAGAAAATTTAGTTGATTTTAATGCAGTTTGTCTTGGCGTACCAATCACCTACCTTCTTCATACCCTGCACACAACATGCTTGCCGTTATATCCCAGCCATTTGGGGCATACACATCTCGGCATATTTCTTGCTCGACTATTGGAACGTAGGCCTCTAACAGACTGTCAGCGCGACTACCTCCGTTGGACGTTAGCCCCCAGCCCAGAATGATAGCCATCTCGTCCGGTGGGGGACGGGGAATTTCATCTTCAAATTCCATACCAAATTCCGATGTGGTTATTAGGTCAGTTGGCGGGAGACAAACAGGTCGAACATATTCACTGAATTGGACTGGTTCGCTCACGTGTAACAGCGCAATGTCATTGTCAAAGGTCACGGGATTGTAACTTGAATGACGAATAATCTCTGATACCCTTCTCTACAGACAGAAACAAGATAACAGTTAGGTTTTTTTTGTCATTCAAGTAATTTAAAATACACATAACTGTACTTAAATATGTTTCCACAGTTAAAGTGATTTCTATAATATGTTAACCGTTGTCGTTCCCCGCTAAATTAATTGCTATACATAGCACCATCTGAAGAAGCTAGTCCCCACCAACAAAAGCCTTGTCCATTATGACGCGGCTTGGTCAAAAGCATCTCACAAAATGTTATAACATATCTTATAATATGTGGCAATGATTCTGATAAAAATGGAATATGCAATTGATATACTAGTATTGTATACTTTATATACTAGTATTGTATAGTTGATATACTAGTATTGTATAGTTGATATACTAGTATTGTATAGTTGATATACTAGTATTGTGATTTTTGATTTACGGGTATGTAAAAGGAAATTGCATTAACGGATGTAACTGATAAATTTTCCAATGAAATCCTTAGCACCCCGTTGGCAGGCCAGTCACACCACAAGAGGTTACGATCCCCCCTGCCAAATGCTAAGCACAACTGAAACTAATATCTACATATTTACATGAAAATTTTTCCACCTGTGCGGATCTGTTTGTGCAGGAGTTTTACGACCGTATGCCCTTACTGACATCAACCAAACTTGTTATGTGGAAGTTGGCACCCAAGG